GTGTCTCAATACGTGTAGGTCTTAAGATGAATATGGACAAGGCAAAGGTTGGGAGCATTCCGGTCGAAGTTGTCGACGAGTATTACAAATGACAAATTGTTCGACTAGTATGTCCAACTTTTACCAAGAGGCCAGTCGGCAGATCCAATTCGGCTCAGCAGTATTGAAGAGTTACAACACATCTTCCTTAAACACGAAAACAAGTGTGTACAATAAAAGCGTGTTGCACGTGATGCCAAATGAAACCAAAACGTTTTATAACATCTAACGAGATCGGTATAGAGAGTATTTCTTGATGTTCCCAACGTGATAGACTTCGTAATGATTATATTTGCAGTAAAACCAGAGTAATCAATATAATCTAATGGATCAGTAAGCTGTAGTGTCAATTGGGTGACCATATTACTTGATGAACTGATCGGGGAAAGTTATTAGTAGATAATTCATACTTTGGCTTTACTAGTAAGACTAGCTTAACACATATTTTGCTCTCCTGTTCGGCCAGCAGTCTGGATGCTGGAAAAACGTAGATGGTCTGAAAAGGAGTCTCCCAAATATCAGCCCAGCAAAACTGTGAATCTGGCTACGGGAGAGAAGAATCTCTCCCGCAGCCAGCTTTAGTAACCTAGCTGGCTCCCCGTACGTAGGCATTCGCAATTTGAATCCTATGAGCGTGGAGCGTATGCGGTTGATCCATCACGAACTAATACAGGCTGTCGCCAAGACAGCCTAAAGGGCGCAGCCGGGGGCACATACAGGTTAAATATTATCCCAGCAGCGAAGCTGACTCTTTCGAGGAGGTGTCTTTGCTTCTGAGGGCACAAAATGAAGGGCCCTATACAGATTTCTGGAAATTCCTCCACCGTAGGGACTAGGAAATTGGCTTCCTAGTAACGTTTTCTCTGACCAGCTGTTCAGTACCAGGAAAAAACGCTGTGACTACTCCTCCCGGTCTGGTGTTAAATGATGATTTACTACGCGTTTAGATATGAAAACGTCGTAAAGAAACCTGTTCAAAAATAAAACATTTTAAGGAAATAAGAAATTCGCCAATGTGCATTGGGCAGCAAAGTACACTGACTATACTTGTAGCATACGTTAAGTATCTAACTATTTATAATAAGATTCCTAATATTACTGATTTGCCTTTGTATAAACTCAAAGCAAAAAGCATACTCATAAACAAAGTACCTATATTATAAATTAGATGACTATTTAAAAGGTAAGAATTCGTGGATATAATGAAATTCCTTCAACTTATTTAATTATGTATATATGTTTTTAGTAGATTTATCATTTTCAAATAGTACTAGAGATATAATCTCATCATTTCCAGATCTTTCTAGTGTATAGACTAGAACACGTTCCGGTAGATTTCAACCACTAAATTAGCCATTTCAAATTTTATGCGCTTCTAACTAGATCATCTCACGTTATATTATTGTGATTTATTTTAAAAACTGTCCTTTGTGAATAGTTAGTTATAATTTACCTCTATTAGTCTCTTTAAAATGACAATTAAGCTTCGTTTGTTTATCAGTACACCTTGTTTTAGCAGATAATTACATCGCTATCGTAATTATTATAATTGCTTTCAGAGACATTATAAATAAACCCTTTAAGGCACGTGCAATATGTTAATTATAATGTTTTATCTTGCTTCATTTGCGTGTAATAATTCACTACTGGACATATATATAATATTCGTTATTCATTACTCTTGATAGATTGCCAAGCGCAGTGACAGACTTCTCCCCGTCGCCAGCTTTTTTTTGAGTAAGGTGAAAAATGACCACACAGTCCACTTGATGGTAAGTGGATGATGTGGCCCACAGGAATCAACGTCTATCTTCAATTACGAATCAAATTGTTGGTACGTTATTACCCATAAATACTAAAACTGAATGCCTCGTTTCCATTTAAAATGGTCTCTGGATCTTTACACTCACAATACAAACTACATCAGCATTGATCTGCTATTTCAAACTGCTAATTTATTAGAGCGCAGTATTCCTCAGTCGTGCCGACCCGTTCGTGCTACAACCATAATATAGATGAAACATGGCGCTGTCTATTTATTTGCAACAAAGTTATTATGCAACCATGTCTTGGAAGCAATTAGATATATCTGGCATTTTATATAGTCGCCTTCTATAGCAAACAAAGGAAGAAATTTACGGATTCTCTTAAGCTTTTATAGTACTATAAAAAATTATGTATTAAACCCAAAATATTATTTAAAATTTCTTTAAAATAAGTAGTATTAAAGTAGTTTTAAAAATAGTTTTGGTTTCTTACTTTCTAATTTTTATATTTTTTTTTAATTATAAATCAAAAGGTAAGTATGCATCGATATTTATTTCCCTCTATCCCATTTTTGTAAAATAGTGCTATGATGTCACGTTATGTAAAATTATAGACACAAAACGCTTCTCTTAACCTTTTGTCAAGTATAAATTGTAAAATATAATATTTTTACGTGTTATAGCCACGCTGGAGCTATATTATGGTTGTAGCACGAATAGGTCGGCTCGACCGGAGTAGGACTATGCTCACAAATAATACCAGCTTAAAATCGTAAATTAATGTTGCTGTGTATCGTATAGAACCGGAGATCTTTTTACTGGAAACAAGGTTATCCAACTCATTCGTTAGTGGTGACAACTCATTTACATTTTGATTCTTTTTTTATAGAATAAAGTTGACAAACGACCACACAGTCCACTTGATGGTAAGTGAGATGTAAGTGATGGTAATTGGGGATGGTTCTTAATTGAGGATAAATGTATCTACATTGTTTTTCATGTCATTATCTTTATTGTCTATGAGCCACAGGCTTCACTTACCATTTGGTAGACTGTGTGCTCGTTTGTTACCATTATTCTATAAAAAAGAATAATAGTGATTAAAACTACTTTTACGGATTTTATCGCGTTTTATTTAAGCACCCGAAACGTCGGGTATTAAAATTAATATAAATAAAAAGCGAAAAAATCCGTAAAAGTAGTTTTAATCAATGTATAGTGTTCGCGTAAATATAAGAAATCATTAAGAATAATAGTTATCTTGTTTTATTTGTAATTTTTAAAAACCAATTAAAAAAAAACTTCGCTGCAACTTGTCTATTATGCCTTATTTCGTTGATTTGCAACATAGGTTAATATTTTATAATAAAAAATCGAGAAGTTTTTAATAAAAACTGGAAAATGATCTTCTTTAAACTTTTTAGCAAGAAATTATCAGAAATATATTGTTTAAAATTTATTGAGATATTTGATAAACTTTATTTATTGTCAATACGGATGTAAAAATAATAAATCGTTGTTGTATCTTAAGGCCTTTGCCTTAATATCGACAGCGACTTAATATTTCACATATACAGTATCACATTACCATCGCATATTTTGTCAAGTATTGTACTGTTACGGAATTATTTGAATACGAATAGTTGTTTGATAATTTCACCAAATAAGGTGATGAAGCAAAAGTATCTAACGTCGAAAAATATATTAAATATGTTGTCAAGTTTTTTACCATATGGTGTAATAGAATCTTGGGATGATCTTAATCCCAATCTTTATGTCGCCGTTCACATTTATTGGCTAAAATTTTACGGGATGTGGTTTAATAATTATTCGTGGAAAACTATCAATTTTTGGATTCAGATTTTATACACGTTCATAATATTTTGGCTCGTGTGTCTCTTGCCTGGTATTGGTGAAGTATATTACTTATTGCAACGCCGAGAAAACATTAGCCATATAGCAGAAGGGTAAATCATAATACTAATACAAAATATTTGCTATACGATTATTGAATAAGAAGAATATAGCTATTTATGTTTGTTTGGATAGAAAAACTGTTCGGAGAAATTTTATACTATCGCGGTCCCCTCGTTTTTTGGCTCTAGACAATCTAAAAATCATCCGATTTTGAAGAGTTTTTTTTAAAACTTCGTTTTTACGGCGGATTTACGAAAAAAATTACAAGAATAAAAAAATTAAAAATTATATACTACGCTACGTTGAGCGGCGTGGCGATTCACTCCCCAAACTCTCTCCCGTAGCGCAGTCAAGGGAAGCCCGGTCAACGCTGAGTGGTACATAAAAAATAACCACGAAGGAGATGGTGGGGTCTATTCGTTGTCTATCTACTTCTAACCTAACCTGTCCAAATCGGGATATCCTAAGTCCCGAGCTCGCTTCTTTCATCTTACACTCAATAAAACACCATTTTTCAAAATTCATCAAAATCGGATGATTTTTCGAGTTTCTGGAGCCAAAAAACGAGGGGTAAAGTTCGGTAACGGAGAAAAGCGTCAAAAGTCTAAGCGTGTATATTATGACAAAAGCCCCACATAAACAAGAAAGGCCTATGTCTAGCAAATGACAATTATGGCCTGATAAAGAAGCTCATCCTTCTTTTATGTTACAATGGAGATAAAAGAGGACACATTCCACCTGTTGATGATTGGATGCTGTTGCTCAAAACGGCCCTAATACCAAGATTAAGGATCAAAATGCAGTGATACCCCTGAGAACTAAGATAGAATGCCAAATTGCCAGTAAAAAGATTCTCCTGTTCTCCTCACTCACTATACCATACATGAAGGTATTACGATTTCTTTTGACGCTAATTTTAATGATACCGTCTATGGCCAAGCTGATTTATTTGTCCTTCAGCCAATAGGAAACAGCGTAGATCTACCACATAAAAATATCAGATTTTGCAATTTATGAATATATTATAGTGTAGATGTAATAAAATAGTAGACATAAAATATATTAATTTAAGGTAAGGTGAGGATTTTCAGCTCGCTACAATGTTGTTTATTTTGTTGCAGATTATATTTATTTTTAAGTGAAATGTATACTTATTTTAAGATATTTGCTTTTTGGTATAACAAAGATAAAATTATGAATCTTTTAAATTATATACATTGCAAAGAATTTGAACCTCTAGAACCAGAACACAAAATTATTATAAAAAAATCTATTAAAATGGCACGTTTTGTTATGAACGCATATACCGTCATGTGCGTCGGGGCTGTTACGGGTACGTAGCATTATATCATCATCATCATCATCATTACAGCCCTGCACAAGTTCACTGCTGAACATAGGCCTCCCCCAAGGTATGCCACAGAGTACGGTCCTGAGGAACCTGCATTCGTCGACTTCTTGCATGTCTCACCAGGTCATCTCTTCATCTAGTGGGGGGTCGCCCTACACTTCACCTACCGGTACGAGGCTGCCACTCGAGAACTTTTTTCCCCAACAGTTGTCGGTTCTTCGAGCTATATGGCCGGCCCAGCGTTATATATAATTATATATACCTCCAGTGTAGTGGCGGGCAAGAATACCCATATCTACCCGTGGGTGTCGTAAAAGGCAACAATGGGAAACTGAGGATAAGGTGGGCAACTGCTTCTTTCTGATAGCAACAAAACAACAATAAAAAAACTGCGATTGCCAAACTGCTCGTCAAGCATGACAACTATGGCAATATACCACCCATTATGAGAGTAACGAAGAGACGGTCCTTAGTTCCCGGCGGCCCTGCTATTTCTGGCTACGGTGGCAACCTGGTAACGGCGGGGCCGGGGGTACTAAAAATCTCCGGTGGAGGTTAGGTTGCCACCTAAGACGACTCGACCTGGTAACATATAACGCATGCACCCCGAGGATTGACGACAAGATCCTGGAGCTGGATCCTTCAAGAGGTCCTGTCTAATGAAGTCAATGCTCCGTCCCCCTCGTGCTCTAATCCAGAGTCCGGAAAATTTTCAGCCTAGGCAATGCAGTGGACGATACAAACGACAAGCTCGTGGAAACTGTTCATGCGGGCAGGCCTAAGTTCTAGAAGACCCGCAACAGTCTCATAACTGTTAGACTGGAAATGAAGCCGCAGTCTTCAGCAAATTTGACAGCATACAGGCGACTGAATAGACAGATCTCCAAATTCATGCGGCGAGCCTTATTCAACATCAATACAACGAGATCTGTTTGCCAGAAAGAGCCAACTATCGAAGCTGAAGACTGAATGTGGTGGCATTGTTTCCGGGAAAACAGTGATTTTGAGTGAGATTAAGAAATTCTATGGGAAGCTGTACACATCATCATTGAAACCATCATCGCAAGTATGAGTAACGATCCGAGAGTAAGACTTATCCGACATTTTTGCGATAATATTCGAAATATTCGATGATAGATCGAGATTAGAATGGCTCTTCAGCACCGTAGTAAGGGAAAATTCCCAGGCAAAGATGGAATTACAGCGGAGCTTCTGTAAGCGGATGGCAAGCTGATGCTTAAAGTCCTTCAGAAGGTTTTTATTCCTTCGTCCATGGTGGCACTAATTTACTAGGATGGAGCAACAATGCGGTGGTATTGTTCTTCAAGAAAGACGAAAACGTTGTCTTGAAGAGTTACACACCGATTTCCCTTCTGAGCCGCGTTTGCGAGCTATTTTCAAGAATCACTACAAATCGTCTCGCACGCAGACTCTATGACTTCCAGCATCCCGACCAAGCTGGTTTCAGAACCACAGGCCACATACATACTCTTCGGCAAATTGTACAGAAGACCGAGGGGTAAAATCTGCCACTATATCTTGCGTGTGTATACCATGAAAAATCCTTTGATTCCATAAAGTTAGGCAGTGCTGAAGTCCCTGCAGTGATTTGAAGCCCGTGTTTCCCAATGTTGTCAGATTTTCTCTGTTCAAAAACCGTTTTAGAAACGAGCATTTATAAGAAATGTCCTTATTTTTGACGTAAGAAATTAAAATATTGTTCGTCGATTGTCACACAAGTATTTAGCTTATTGTGAAATAGAGCAGTAGTGAGAAGTATATTGTACATTACATTTATTTTTTATTTTACAGTTGCAATATTGATGCCACTAACTGAGAACTTTAAAATTCTGCCGACTAATGTTGAATATCCATATATCGATGTTTATGGATCACCAGCCTACACCATTATATACCTGCACCACGTAAGCGTTATATATTACTAAATTCAACTTTAGTATACGTTTTCAAATATGAACTTTAAGTTGGTTTTTATGGATTTTTTATATGTATTAAGTTTTCACATGGTAGAGATAATAATCACATGATCATATTTTTTGTGTTAAATACATGATATAAGTATAGCTTAATATCTTTTTATTTTTAAAATATGGCAGAGACTGCCAAAATATTTAAATGCATCTTTTCATTGTATTTTCAATGTATTGCTCAAAATCGCGTATATACGGTAGAACACTTAAAAACTACACGGTTGTAGCCGCGATGTTGCGGCGCCACAAGCGAAAGGCACCGAAGCTTAAATCGCGCTATCAAAGCTCCGTAGTACGGCGGCATATATAAAACAGCTCCGAACTATCATTACACGGAGCATTGGCCGATGCCCGGGCTAAGCACCTTGCCCGTGGGGAAATCTCACCTTTTCTTTTCACGACCAAATAGTATTTACTATCGTTTTTAAGCTTTATATGTCATTTTTTATAATCTCCTTAATTATTACAATAATGGTACTTCCTTGTTTTTTTTGCACCGCCTGTATTTAATACAAACAATGATAAAATATTTCGTTAGAGCCAGATTTTTGTTTAATATCCACTTTTCTTAATTTTTGTCCGTAATAATTATTTTATTGTAAAATTATTTAGATAGAACAAGTTTATTTATTTTATAAACAAAAATCACAGAGGATCGTATAGTAGACTTGATGGTAAGTGTGTGGCAATTCATCAATTATTTTAGCAAACTTCATACAAAAGGGAGCAAGACATATATATATATATATATATATATATATATATATATATATATATATATATATATATACTAGCTTGCCAGGTAGACGTTGTTCTGCCCTTTTCGACGATAATTTGTCATGACCTATTAAAAATACTTAAATTCGCAAAAAATAAATTGTGGGTCACCCATGGGCAAAAAAACTGTCCTATCTCTCAAGTTGATCAGATGAGTAATGAATAATAAAGATTAAGTTGCTTTAAGTACTTATATTCCACCTGGTTCTTGAAACTCTGCTGTGATTCTATCAAAACTCGTCGCTGTCCTTATGGAAAAGTCATCGATTCGGGTGCAATTTTCTCGAATGTGACTGTTGGTATATGGACACGGAATCTTCAGATATAATGCCATAGCATTATGATTAATGGGTTTAAGTATGAATCGGTTAATATAAGAGAATATTCAGCCCATTCGCCACAGTGAAGAACAATGTTCAACATGTTTGGCGACCCCAACTTCATAAAAACCTGGAGAAACCATTATAATTCAAAAAATTAATAGGTTCAGGTGAATTAGCTATGGTCTTTAAAATATAAAATGAAAGATGGATATAATTTGATCTCTATATTCAACCACATTCCATGTTACATTTTTAAGACAAATGTTTTTATATCTACAGGTTTATTATAAGCCAGCTACTTGTATCATCGATGGCGTAATGGATACTATTCTTGCAGCTTTTATAGCATCTACAAGTGAGTTTTTATATTTTTTATAATAATTTTGATATAAAAATCAGTTATAATATGTATGAGTAACTATAGCACTAAATTTAATTATTATATTTGTTACAGTTGGGCAAATTGAAATTTTATCTTTCAATTTACTTAACTTTGATATGCTAGCAGAACGGCAATACGAAAGAGTTTTTCAAAAATATAAAAACCGTAGTAATGTTTTCAAGAAAATTTGTGTAAAATATGTTCTAAAGAAATGTATTATTCATCATAATGCCATTATTCGGTAAATATTGGAAATAATTACACCTTTATTATATATACATTATTGAAATTAATAGACCATCACGGTCATTTATCCTAGCATTGTCAGGTCTAAAAATATAAGATGATTTTTTTATTGTATAATTATTAACAATGATTCTATAGTCAAGATATTTAAAAAACTAAGGGATCCCATAATTCTAAAGGCGAATCCGTATAAAATGACAGTAAGTGACATACCTCAGCTGATCTGACTTAAGTGAGAATGCTCCGGTAACATAGCTACAAGAACCGATAAAACGACAATTGATGGGAAATAAAGGTTCTTGAGAGGTAGCCTCGTGCCGGTAAGGAAGGTAAGGGGCCGCCATCGGCTAGAGAAAGTCACGACCTTTTTTTTATAGAATAAGGTTGACGAATGAATGCATATCCCGGCTGATGGAAAGCGGATGCTCTGGTTCATAGACATTTACATTTATCCCCGATTAAGAATCAAGCTGCAAATGCTTTATTACCCCTGAGGATTACGATCAAATGCCTCGTCTCCAGTGAAATTGTTCTCATGTTTTCTACAGTCAACATAAGACCATACGAAAGACAGTAGCATGAAGCTGCTATTATACGCTGGTTTTCTGTGAGAACGTGGTCCTTTCCCAGTTTATGTGACCCATTCATGCTACAAACATGTTGTACATACAGCGTCTTCGCTCTACAGCGTATAAAATATTTGTTTAAATTATTCGACTTAATTTTAATCATTAAAATAAGTTTATCGGAATAATTATCTGTAATTTATCACCATTTCAGGTATGTCACAATGATCGAAAATGCTTTCAGTTTAGCCTCGGCTCTTCAATTTATGCTTAGCGCTATGGTGCTTTGCTTAGTAGGTGTACAATTTTTATCAGTATGTATCATTTTTATCTTCTAGAAAGAATTTTTAAATTTTAATGCCGTTATGCTGTTGTAACTCTGCAAGAATCCGCTGCTGAACAAAAGCCTCCTTTTGAAATTGTCTTATAAGGGAGAGTATTCGCTTCTTTCATCGTAATCGAATAAACTAGCGTGGCGTGGAGGCGGGCCTATGCTCAACAGTGGACTTGTGAATAATATCTGTAATGATGATGATGAATCGAATGAGTGTAAAAGTAATACATAGAAGACGGGCAAACAAATAAATAATTTTTATAGTATTAGAATAGACATATTATTGCTCAATTTTACTTCATACCAATGTGCTTCTAATCCTTGATGCATAATTAATTTTGCAGCATATTAAAGCCATTAACTAATCTAAAATTTACTTCCTAAAATGTGTTTTTTCGCTAAAAATAGACTAAATATTTTCATAATAACACACAAATGGTATGTGGTGACAGCGAGATTAGGATATTGCATATATCCGTTTTGACGCCTGGATTTCGTAAGAGGCTACTACAGGAAATGTCAGAAGGACAGAACTATGTTAAGCATGTTTAACGTTGCGACAATTTCAATGATACTACACGCAAAATATCCAGACTGGAAAAGAGGTTCAGCGTCAAGGATGTAAGATATCTGCTACTGCAATTAAAATTATGATGAGATAAAGTGTCCAATTATTGACACTTTAAGAGTGACCATATCAACATAATACTATTTCTAACATTGTTCGATGTTAACCGATATAGTTTAAGTTTTAAAAAACTGGAATAGCTATCCTAGAATGTCGCCAGTAACAATAAACTGTAAATAAACCGTTATCAGTACCATTTTTGCAATTTTAGCCATACAAAGTGATTTGCCCAAATATTTGCACATGCTTCCTTATTATCGCCACCTCAACCAATATAGATACCCCCTCAAAATTCTTATATATTCAACAATAACTGAGGGTAATTTAGTAAGAATATAAAATTTTATCTACCTTGAATAAAAAAATTTCTAGATAATAAAACAAATAGTAATCAAAGAATCAACGTTAATTATAAAACAAGTACCAGTTTTGGTTTAGCTTAGGTATAATAATAGAGTCAATTGACTATTAAGACTGGGTATTTCATAAATAACTGTTAAAAGTTCTAAATTATCACTAACTCAGTTTTCAATCTCTGATAGAAAACTTTTTATCTCTTCTGCTGAAGAAGAACCTGGACGCGAATTGTGATGAGGTTTTCATAGTCTGTAAATCAATATCGTTCGGGGTACAGCCTGATAAGTTTTGCAAGTTTTTGACTCATACCATTTTGTATTACCTGTAGAGCTTTGTTTAAATTATTTAGCTCATATCTCTTTATTTTCAGTTTCTCTTTAATATTTGTATTAGATGGTTTTCTAGGTTTTATTTTCAGAAATCACCAACTGTAAAAAATATTGTTATATGGATATTAAACCCGCCATTTATTGATTATTGACATATTACTACCATTTATTTAGATACTTGTACCTAATTATCAACACTGATGTACATAATAGGTAATTTCAATTTGACAGTCGTGTCAAGAATTGAAATAAGGATATATTTTAGCTTAATTGTTGTTTCTTAAGTTTACGAATCTTAAAATAGACACAATAAAACAAAAAAACCATACAAAAAAAAAACTAAAAACGCAATTATTGAACATGGATGACAATAAAACAGTTTTTCCTATTTTCGGTATACCAAAAGTTAACAAAATTTGTACAATAAAATAAACTAAAAAAAACTTTTTTTTTAGACTAAAACAAAATGTATTATCGAAATCTAAAAGACACTCACCTTATCGATATGTTATGAAAACGTTACTTTTTTCTGTTACAAATACTTTTGTGCAGTTAATTTCACCTGATTGGACTTTTTTGTACTTGTATAAGGTATCAATCAATCCTATGTATAGTAGTTTTCTCATTTTTAGATGAAAATTGCTGGAGTGTCGATTAATTGGGCGGGTGTCAAATATAGGTTGTCTTACCATGGTTATTGAGTAAAATCCTCTTTCTAATGCGAGAAACCTCAGTCCAACATCGACTTGATCTATGATAGTATACACAATGGTATTACGGGATTTTTTTTCATACTTTTACAGGCTGTCAAAGTCTGTTGTTAAAAATAGCCTTCCCATAAATTGCCTCATATGGTTTTGAGATTTGCCGTTTTTTTCGTACTTGCAACCGCAGATTTTTCATTATCTAGTTATTATTACGAAGAGGCTGCTATTCGTCTCCTAGCAATTTTATATCTGGAGCCTCTTACAACACCTACGAGAAGATATGGAACTGTGAATATTCTTAAATCGCCACTACACGATAATACTATTCGTACAAGTATAATAACTTAGGTGGTGGACACTTGGTTAAATTATTAAATTAAAAATTTACTGTTTACTAAATTTCGTCATGTTAAAAAATTGACCTTTTTAAACATTTAATTAAAATAAACATTTTATTTTGCAGATCGAAAACCCTTCTAGCCATTGCATGCAGATAATGTGGATGGCCGTGTACTTAACGTGTATGCTTACTGAAGTTTTCATTTTGTGTTGGTTTGGAAATCAATTGATTATAAAGGTATTTTTGTAACTGCTCACCTTGTTTCTATAGTAAAATTTTAACGAACGAGCACACAGTGAATTTAGGAGTTCCACAGACAACTTCTTGCTATTCACTATTAAGAATATGCGTTGACTGAGGATTACCTCATTATCCGTAAAAATAATCGCCAGTTGTCATCTCTTATCACAGGAAATATTATATACTCAGGAATGTCTAAGGAATAAAATATACGGAGAAAATGTAAAGTGCGTCGACACACGCTGGAGCAGCACTGCGAATAAATTGCTCCCTTACCCCTACATACCACCTCCATTCCCCACAGCAAAAATATAAATATATTCTAAGGTATTACACGCATACCTATCGTGAAATAATTTTCGAGCAATCATAGCTCGAAAATTATTTGCCTTGTTTTTAATTTAACCAATCATAACGGATGGAAAACTAACAAGACTATTCTGTAGTGTTTTTTTTAATATAACTTCATACCTGTTTATGTTACTATAAGTTCGCAGCTTTTATTACGGTACTATGAATATATATAAAGGTTTACACACTTCACTAGATTCCCTCGTTAGGAAGGCTTTGTTAGTATCGCTGAGCTAGACACGCAATTGCAGTACCAGATTTATTGAATTTGGACTCTGTTTTTATAGCGAACTTGGATATATACTACGTCTGAAGATGATTATAAACTCATTTATTGAAAACTATGACGTTGTTCTAGATATTTCCATAGCCGCCTCTTACGATATAGAAGACTTTGTCATACACCGTTAACACTCGTCACGTATTTGTTAATAATGAATCAGTATGTTCTAAGTTAACCTTCTTTACCAACTTTATACAACTTATAACAAAGTATGTTAAATAATTTAACGATAGAGCTTGGAGCTACAAAATGCTGCATTTGCCAGTCCATGGTTAGGCACTGATTCAACTGACAAACTTTTTATAATAATTTTGATGGAGCGATCCAAGCGACCTCTTCAAGTTACTGCTGGAAAAATATTTACTCTATCCCTCGATGCATATACAAATGTAAGTAGTTTGTATTTTTTTTAATTTAATTAAAAATTAATATATAGATGTAAATATTTAATTTGATTTTGGGCGACACAGGCGGAAGATAAAACTGATTAAAGCCTTGCTTGTTGGTCTGGTTGGTAAAAATGCGCATAAAATTTGCTTTTATAAATTTTAAGGGCTTTGCTTTATTCGGATTGGAATTCCCAGCGCCAATATATATTACACACTTAACAAATGCTTCTTATCAGCGATCTGAGTAATATCCGCCGCGACCGAATTCGGTTGCTTGGGAGTTTAGAGGTGGTTAGAACTTCTTCTATCACTATTCATTTAATTAGCTGTAATGATACCTATGGAACTTTATAAAATTTGTTAATTGAAATGTGCATAAGTGCTATATTTCCTTATACATATTTAAAGTTTTTTTTTTGTTTCCAGCTCATTAACTGGTCATACAAGGCTTTCGCTGTGATGAGGAATATGAAAAATAATGTTGTAATATTTGATGAGTAAAAATATAAAATGGTTATTTCCTATGACGAATTTTCAAAAAAAAATCAAAATTTTACTAATAAAATTTTTGTAGTGTCTATAGTGCTCGATTCAAAAATTTTATTAATTTTAAATTAGAATATCTCCAGTTATAATTTTTTAATATTGTATGTTTATTATTTAGGGATTTTATATAAAATATTATCATAGAACACAAAGCGAGCATGATTCCTTCCTAATTAAAATTTTGAATCAAAGCCACCTGAAGATTTTGTACCAATGGAGCATTCCATAGTTACTCTTGATTACTTTCCAGTGTAATATTTTTACGAAAACTGAACTAACTATTGCCGTGCCTGTTTTGTCTCCCCCTTAAAGAGATATTTATCGTCCAAATATTACAGATAAAATATATATACTTCAGGCTTCTTAGTTTAAATATAAAATGAGATTTGACATATGTCCTTTGTGATTTCCATCGATTTCCTGTAAATATAAAATTTATTCCTAACCGTATTTCGAGTCTAGGTTAGAAATATATTATTAGGTCTTTACATATAAAATTAGTGTTTTCTCCTACGGACCATTTTGATCTGAAATATCTCCTCTTTGGTTAAGAATTCTAAAATCAAATTTATAAATTCATTTAGTTTGTATATTTGGGTTCTGAAAAGAGTCATTCATTTCGTTTTTCATCATAATTTTTTTATTTGGCGTCGCTTATTACCACACAATGGAAAAAGTAGAATATCGGTACCTTTACGATAACGAGTTCTACCGTGGCACCATTGCTGTAGAAACAGCTCGAAGGATTAATAAAGTGTACGGCGCTGGTGTCGCAAAAGAAAAAACACGATACGTTTTTGGTTTCAACGTTTTCGATCTGAAAATTCCGATCTTCAGAACCAACCCACGCGGAGACCAAAGTGGAAAAAGAAGAATTAAAGGCTATTGTGGAAGCGGATTCATCAAAAAGCACTGCAGAGATAGCTACAGGCTTCGGGGTAAGTGATAAAACTGTATTAATAGACTTGAAGCAAATCAGAAAGTAAAAAAACTTAAACGATGGGTATCATTACTTGTAATAAAGAATGGATACTGTACAATAATCGAAAGCGCTCGTCGCAACGGCTGAACCCTGGAAACCCAGCCAAATCGTGCCCTAAACGAAGAGTGTCTCATATAAATTTACTTGTGAGTGTTTGGTGGACTAGCGCCGGTGCAGTTCACTACAGCTTTCTAAAATCTAGCCAAATGATTACGGCAGATATCTTTTATCAGCAACTGCAAACCATGAAGGAAGAACTAGCTAAACAACCGAGATTGGTCAATCGCTCTAGACCACTACTGACCACACACTGCACAACAAACAACCACTAAGTTAGATGAGCTACAATTTGAATGTCTGCAACATCCACCGTGCTCCCCGAACCATGCTCCAACAGATTACCATTTTTCCAGAATTTGGATAAATTCTTACAAGGAAAAACTTCAATTCCGATGCGGCAGTCCAAACCGCCTTCAAAGAGTTTATTGATTTTCGCTCTTATGATTTTTTTTTAGTAAAGGGATCAATGAACTAACTATGAAATGGCAAAAGTGCATAGATAACAACGGTGCATACTTTGATGAATTAATAATATTTTACAAAAAAAAAATGACTTTATATTCCTCCCGTGCAAAACGACAATTTCATATGTAAGGACCTAATATATCTCATCTAAGGGAAAAGACGATAACATTTTAATTAAAAACAAGTTAAGTAGAAAATATTCATCTTATGTTGATTTTTCCGGTCAAAATTCCTAAGTATTGTCATATGAAAAACATTAGGATACAAGAATTATCGAAGAATCAAAATGCCGACTACCAGTAAAAAGGGTCTCTGATTCTCTACTCTCACCATGTGAAACAAGGCAGCATATATTTATTTTGCGCTATTTCATTTTGTTAGAGAATATTCCTTACTCGAATAAGCCGACTCATTCGCACTGCGGCAATAAAATACCTATAGATACCTACGTAGATATATACCCATTAAAATTGTAAAAAACATCCACCCTGGTGAAAAACTAGATTTGAAGATTTAATGTAACCATTTAGAGACAATTTAGTTATTACCCTGGGCTTTTGGTATTCCTTAGTTCACTAGAATAGTCAATTTTTTTATTAAAAGCAAAAACTTGTTAAGGGTACACTAGTCGCTTATTCTTCCATACAAACGTAGTCCGGCGGTTACTCCACTGTTTGAAGGTGTACGTTCAAAATAAAAAATGATTTCAATTTGTCTCATCATGACAATGCTAGATATAGACCTGTATGGACACAAAAATGTAAAAAAAGAGTATGTTTAAAACTTATAAGCGTCGAAAATTCCGAATTTCAACACTAGTTTTAACACATCTTTGGGCGGAAATAAATACCATAAGAAGAACAAAAATTGCAAAACAGTTACCATACAGGGATAGATTAGTTGTTCAAAAATGCAAATAATTTTATTTTAAACAGATACATTCAATAGATTTTCATGACATCCAGACTACCAAAGGTCTGTTTATAAAATTTCGCGCGCCCGTTTTTGTTATAAAACATCTTGCCTTTCGCTACAAATTGTTTCTCCGATCAGTGGGACGGACGGAGGGGGGGGGGCGCAGCGCGCACTCACACATACTCACTAGGTTAGCCGCTGCTATCTATTTATGGTTGTAATACCTACATATCTACATCTTTATTTAGAAAAATTGCTTCCTTTTGTTCATGTCCATTGCTGAAGCCGGGATGAATATAGCTTCTAAAATGTGCCCATAAGTTTGTTGAAGCACATTTAGTTAAAATTGAAAACAGGTAGGTACATAATAATGAACTTTCGATACAGAGAGTACATTAGGTACTTAACTGCTTTAATTTGCTAAACTAACGAAAACATCCGACAGATAAGCACGATTATCGAAAATCTTAAAATTATCTATTAATTTAATTAGAATAGGTAATTTTTAGATTTTCGATAATCGTGCATACGTATAGGAATCTCATATCCTAATATACCTAATGTAATTTATGTAAGTACATAATAATCTAAGAAGGGCAGTCAATGATAAATAAAATGTGTTTTGTAAGTTTTTTTAAAAACACTTTAACACAACAAAAACATGAAACTGAGAAGGAGCACCCGATCTGCCGAAACAAACTCAGAGAGGTCAGTCCAGGTATTACATTGGTCATGTCATACGAGAACCAGGCTAATATGGTCCTTTGAAGAAAGAATCATACAGATGTGAGTGGACAACTTAGTACCTACTTTTTAGGATTCCGTACCCGATGGGTAACCAGCAGGGTCCTATTACGGAGCCTCCGCTGTCCGTGTGTCTGTCTGTCAGCGGGCTGTGTCTCATGATCCGTAATAGGTAGATGGTTGTAATTTTCACAGAACGTGTATTTCTGTTGCCGCAATAACAGCAAGTGGTAAAAATAAATTTGAAAATAAAGGATTTTATACTAGAAAAAGAAACGTGTATTTTTGGCTTTTTTGATCGATAGTAATATGTATAGGTATTTAAATATTGTAATCTCGGAAGCTCGGAAGCCCGATTCGCACTTGGCAAAATATTTGTTTATATTTAACCTTACCTCAGACATAATCATAATTTTTATATATAATTTACTATACTATTATATAAGCTACTACTAAATAAAATAGTAGTAGTTTTGCTATGGTATTATAGTATATTTTGGATTAGATTTAATTTATTACAGAATAATACGAACTATATAAAAACTAAGAAGCGCATCAAGCTACCTTAGATATTGGGTTATGAATACAGATAAGTACACATAGGATTTAGTTTCTAAGTTGTACCCACATATTTTATAGCCTTCGTTATGAATAGCATAAACAGGCCAAGCCCCCTATCCTACAAACTTGCCTACAAACGTTTCGTAACGAATCTCTTTCTACAATCGCGCCTTTTATTTGTTTGGACTGACCACCTGACTCGTTCAGTGATGCCATTCCCATACAGTGTTTAGTTTTCAACTAGCGTTATCTATCATAAAATAAATCAAAATTTTATTCATATTTCGCTAATTGTGTCTGTACTGTGAATTTGATTTACAATCGATCTCTAAATTGTAGTTTTCTTCTAATTACTTACCATGCCTAGACGTGTTCTTTGGACTTCTGTAAGGAAGTCTGTGCGGTTAGTATTCCGTTTATATACGTTACTATTTTGACAGACGTTTGTGCATGTCCCTGCAGTGACACAATGCCTATTGTTGATAACTTTCTAAGTACTAAGAGAATATTTCAAACCGCTGTTGAACACAAACAATCAATAAACAATTTACAAACTAACATTTTTTATTTATTTAATTAACCTATATAAAAGCCCCACTCACATCAAAATCGCGCTGTCGAAAAAGCAGTTATCCTGACACTGGCTGACATATACTTCGGGGCGTTGCCTGTGTGCTATTATAGCTAACTAGCTATGGAAAGTAAATACCTATTTAGAATACATAGTACCTACAGTAATATTTGCATAACCTACAGTAAAATACAAAAACATAAAGAAAACATAATTATGTTACACTTTCTTGTGTTTGTTTTAGAAATTGTAATATTTTTTCAAAAAAAAGTTTTTTATGTTACCGTTTTTAGTTGAGAGTTATGTCCCTTTAGTGGGTACAGGCATGATATTATATATTGTATGATTGTGTAAAGAATGCATAGATAGGCGATAGCAGCAATCGCGGTTGATTTGCTGTCATTTATTGAAGAGTGCCCCCGATTTCTCCACGATCCCATCATCAGATCCTGATCTGACCATCATCGATTACCGTGGGATTATCTGGAAAATATATCCTTTCAAACAAAAAAATAATTTTCCAAATCAGTTCAGGCTTCAGGCATCTTCCAGAAATCGGTTAAAAAGTAGGTAAAAACAAATCAATGGAATTATTATATAATAACAACATCTACTTAAGTTCACATAAGAACTCTCATAATAACAACTAAGTACATA